CGTATATTGTTAGAGAGAGCCAGTTGTACAATAAACATTCAGAAGTCTGTCTCACCTTCAGACTCTTTTTTAACACATCGTCTCACCATCAGGATCAAAACCAGCAGCAGTGGAACCACAACAATGATGGATGGAAGAGAAAGAAGCAGATAGAAAAGAGACTGGGAAGATGGAGGAAGAGGAGGAGGAGAAGAAAGAAGAGATAGAGGAGGAGGAGTATTTCCAGTGGGGTCAGTGGTTGATGATTTATCTAAGATAAAAATATATGCATCAAATGACCACAAGAGTACCATTGACTTAAAAGACTGATGTTTATCCTTCTGACCTTCAACAGAGATCCAGCTGGATGGAGACTCTCCATGACCACTGATGTTACACTTGTAGAGGCCTTCATCAGAGCTGGTCACATGGTGGAGGGTCATGTGACCTTTGGACTCAGTCCTGATGAGGGAGTCACCTTTATAGAAAGCAGCTGGGAGGTTGGAATGGGTCTTATTCCTACAGCTCAGAGTGACGTCATCTCCCTCCATCACAGGGAGGACAGGACTCTGCAGGATCACTGATCCACCTCAACACAGAGACAAACTACAGCATTTCATCCATTTCCACACAGCTTCATCAACACTAACCCCACAGACTGATCTTACCAGTGACAGTGAGCTGGATGCTGCTGCTGGCTGCTCCCTCTCTGGACGACCCACACCAGTAAACTCCACTGTCCTCTGGGATCAAGTCGTAGATCTTACAGGTAGAACCAGCTGGTTTCCCCCATCTATCTCCACACTGAGTCCTGGTTCTTCTGGTTGTGTTCCTCCATACAGTCCATCCAGCAGAGCTGCTGTTCTCACAGCTCAGAGATACAGAGTCATCTTTAAAGAACTGAGATCTGCTGGGACTCACAGTCAGACCAGCTGGGAGGACTGGGACGTGAAAATACATGGATTAAATTATTGATAAAATGATGTTTATTAATCAGAATATTGATTTTAGTTTAATGTTAAAAGAAATGAACCAACCTTCATTTATTATACAGCAAAGCAGCAAACAGGAAACTGAGGAGAAATTAAACGCCTTTGTTACAGTTTTTAAACGAGAATTTTAATTGCCAAAGTTTATTCTATTTTTCATAATTCTGATATTCCATCTCTCTTTCATGTTGATATCAGTAAATTTTAGCTTTGTGCCTTAAAGCCAATCCTGTGTTACTACGAGTTAAAAAGAGGGAAGTAAAGTAATTTATCTTTCCTTGAATTCAGACTTTTTGGCCAAAGGCTTTGTCTCAGGTCATAACAGAGCAAACAGTTAATTTACTTTAAACAGCAGCTTTTTTACTCACAGAGCAGAAACTGAAGAGATGTTTCCATCATGGCGTCACTTCACGATCTGATCACTGATCGTTTCCTGCTGGAGCCTCAGAAAAAAAAAGCCCGCCTTCTTCCTGTAAAGAGAAATATATCGTTGGTTCCTCTTTTTTTCTAACGTATAAATGTATTTTTCATTATTAAAGGCTAGAAAAATAAGCCGGCAACAGAAAATTGCCCCTGGCCCCATTTGACCTGTGTACACGTGTCAAGATGCTGTGGATATGCCTGGGCTGGATGCTGCCTTTTCCTCAGATGGTGGCTGAAGAGCGGGGAGGCGCCGCTCGCATGTGATCTGCTCGCAGCAGGCATGGTAGGAGGCTGTTAGCACCTTATTACCTGCGTCTTTCTAAGTCTGAAGAAAATCGTTAACCGTTGTTTCCCAGATTGAACCCGCTCTGGAGAACCCCCAAGACAGCCTCTAATCATCCTCGCAAGTCCCGACATCCTCAGTGCTCCGACCAGCTGACAGCCTTCCCGCCGCACAGATTCTGCTCGCTCTTCGGACTCAGTCACTCCATCAGTCAGCCACCACAGACACCGATCACCAGGAATCGCCCCGGAGCAACAGTCACGCTTGGCAGCCTCCACCCCTGCTGCAAGCAACGGCTCTCTCCCAGCCTCAATAGGAGCCGATCACTCCCCAAGGGCGAAACCCACCCACTCTCGCCGTTTCAGACCACCGCCTTTCCCGCTTTGCTCCTGTTGCATTGGCCGCTGATACCATTCATTAAAGCATATTAGCTTACAGTTGAAACAGAGATGACTCTAGAAAAGGAAAGAAAATATCCCTCAATTGTCTGATTGTCTGAACTGAGGGTACACAAGGGAAACCACAACTGAGCTCTAACAAGGTGCACAAAGAACTAAAAATCCTTTTGGTTTAACAGTAAAGCTAAAGTTAGTATGCTGTTTCCTCTCTTTGGTATTTCCTTTTTATTTTTGGTCATGAAATATTCTGCTAATGAGTTGAAGGTTTGGGGTCTGGTTAAACTATTAAGGATTCACACATTATCTAGTTCTGATAAATTACATGGTTGGCTGACCTGAGGTAGTTTAGGAAGGTAAAATAAAACTAGTGGGTGGGCTATGCATATCTTTATATTTTCCATGAAACCAATTAGAACAAAGGTCATCTGACTGATAATAAAACATACCAAAACCTGCAGGAGCGCAGATTGAAAAGATAAGGCAAACATGGCTCCCTTATGTAGAAGTTGGTACTGAGTGTGCTCACTGCTCCATGGAGGATAATGTTGCACATTATTAGAAAAAAAAATAGAAAAAAAGCATAATTTTAGCTCAGCTTTAAAGGGGAAGAGGAGGAGGGCTGATTTAGCCTCTATTGGTTTACTAACAACTGACCTGTGACATGCATTAAAGTAGAAACATCCTGTAAAGTACAAAAAGTACCTGACTTAACAGCTGTGCTGATATAATCACCACAATTTCACAAAGCAGGATTAGTAGTTACGCAGAAAAGTAATGGATTAAATTCTGACATACCCTGGCTTTTCCATTTCAGAACTTTTGGAAACTGCTACTCAGCTGTCGTGGGAAAAAAGTATTCAACTATTCATCCTAGTTAAATAAACGGAGATCGATGGATTTCACTCAGTCGGCACATTTATTAATATCTTTGCAAAGAGAGAACAGTCATCATGGCACAGCATTCTGCTCTGTTCTGATCTGGGCAGGGTTCGTTCCCCCCTAGTTACAACAATCGAAAGCAGTCAGAGTCATAACAAATTACACACACTTTGCTTAACAGTAACATGTTATGAAGAAACCTTGAGAAAGAATCTGGATTGTTATGGGAAGAAGCTATGTCTGGTCTACAAACAACATTCTGCAGGGAATGGTGTGGCCTTGAGAGAGAAACAGACTAAGTGAAAACTTTTATAGTGAGTAAATATGAATATTAATATATAATTAGAGAAAGATATAAATTTTCCCACAACATCAGCAAAATTCTGAAAACAAATGGCTCTTGAAGTGTCATATTGTTCTAACACACAGCTAGTAGGGCATCTGTTCATAAACAATATATAACAGCTAAAATAATATCTGATTAAATAAGATATTTACCACCCCTACCAGGGAGGGCAATAAACATCTTAAAGTATCAGAAATATAAATTTCCAGCTGGCTGGGAATTGGATTTATTATAAAATCACAACATAATTATGGCATTTCAGCCTTAGGTGGCATTGAATATAAATCACTGTTGTTGGAGTGGCCCAGAGTATTTCCTAATTTTAAACTAAGATCAGAGTGATCATACCTAAGAGAGTGGTGACACTGCCATAGACTTTTATTGATAGAATGGGGATCCTGCAGTCATAGTTAAACTTTCCATACTAAAGTCATCAGTGATGTTTCATGTAATCCATCCATCCATCCATTCATCCATCCATCCATCCATCCATCCATCCATCCATCCATCCATCCATCCATCCATCAGTTTTTAGGTGAAAGGCAGGATACATGATGGACAGTTTGGCAGTCATTCTCAAGACATTGATGTATTTGTTGTAAAATATTGCCAATAGGACCAAAGACCAAATTAATGCTCTGAATCACACACCTCATTTTGTTGTGAGCTGAACAAAGGCCCAGGTTCTAGAAGCAGCTAATTGAAATGATGTGCTGCGAGGGGTCGCCCTCCTAGATAGCCCTTAAGTACCTTCCTCGATTTCAAAGCCCATCAAATCCCTCTGCTTTTGGATCAGACTGATCTAAGACTCTTCAGAGAATCGACCCGGTTTGGACGGACTTTTGTGGAGCTAGAACCCGAAGCTGCTCTTCCTCTTCCTTCACCCTGACTGCAAGTTGTCTCACGGTAAAACCTTTCATTATGCCATATGATGCTTTAAATGAGGTGCTAAGCTTGGGCAAGCAGTTAATTCAGGTTTTAAAGCATCAATTTGAACTTTGGACTCTCTATGCTGATGTTTAAATTGAAATGTATAAAGAGCTCTGACTTCATGGTGTGAAAGATGTGGTGTGAATGTTTTTGTTTTCTTTTTTCATCTTGTTTTTCTTGCTTTCCCCTTTGTTCTGAGGTTAGTTTAGTAGAGTAGCTGAGACAATAGGGGGACTCCATCTTGATCTGCCTTGTTGACTTTGCATCAAAGCCCCCCACCCCCTTTTTTATCTACTAGATTACTTACATGAGTTTACTGAGGTGCTACAATGCTACATAGTTCATGCATTTGTAAAGTAATCATCACAAGCTGAATGAAGTTACATTATTTTAACGGTATTTATCATTGCATTTGTATCTGCTGCTATTTTTAACAATAATTAATGAATGCATAGACCTTGGTTCTCCCTTGAATACCCTTTACAAGCTACCTCAACAGACTTAGAATCTTGTTCTTGTCTTTCTTTCAAAACAAGTCATTAGTCTACCTCGTGTTTATTTAGATAATGGCGTGTAGTGTTTTGCATAATGTTAGATTTCTGTAATCCTGAATTATTAGAATAAAGACATTATTTGTTAGAAAGTCCATGTTGTTTAGATGTTTTTCTGTTGGAAACTGTTCATTTATACTGTGTTTTCGGTGAGATGTCATATGTCCGACGCTCATGAACGCACCATAAGTGTTCGAAGCTTCATTGAACGCACCACACCTGCAAGTGAGATGGCTGAACGTTTTTTCCTGCTGATACAGCAGTGTAAAGCTCATTATTTCCCGTTTTTTCCTGAAATTCTTCATTTGTATGTGTTTACCTACTGGACTTGCTGTGTGTACATGTCAGAAGGTGAGTTTAATGGTGCTTCGTTCTACTGTATGCTGTAATTTGCATATTTTATG